TTTATTAAGTGCTTAGATTAATTGTTTTATTTCATTTATATTTCGTGAATTATTGATATGATGATTGTTGTGTGTGTGCTTAATTATTGATTGAATTGTTGGCGTGTTAATTTTATTGGTATGGTGTAACTTGGTTGTAATTTATTGTTTTGTTTATGTACTTAGTGTAATTAGTTTTTAGTTTTTATTATTTAAGTGTCTATTTAATTATTTGATTTAGTTAAATTAATTGGATTTGGGATTAAGAGAAGTTGGACCAAAAGATGTGGTATTGGGCTTGTATGAAGCCTTATTGGGTTAATTAATAAAGGCCCATGATTATTTAATTATTTAAATGATCATTTTTGTATTAATTATAAATATATATAATTATATATAAATATAATTAATTAATAATTTTTATGGAAAGATATATATAGAGATATATATTTATGGATATATATAGGTCTATATGATTTAATTAACCCATGGATTAATTATGGAAGGTATATATATATATTTGTAATATAATATGTGTTTATAGATATATATTATTTAAGAATTATTATTTTATTTGGTAATCCTATTAGGAATAGGATTTAAGTTTTTATGTGTATAAATAAACACATAAGGCTTTAGGGTTAAAAGTTTGATACGCTAGAAAAATAAGAGAGATAGAGAGAGAGGAAGAAGAAGGGCTGACAAAGAGGAGGTCGAATCCGAAAAGGAGGATGTTAGAATTGGAAGAGATAATTAAAGCTTGAAGCGCCGGTTTCGTTTCGAAACCTTTAGGCGAGTTCTTCTCTAATTTTCCTCTTAAAACCCATAATGATTTCACCTTGAGTATCAACACTTTAATTAAATTATAAATTTAAATCGTTGTTAGAACGGATTAATCAAAGTTAGGATGGATTAATAAAAAAATATTAAGTTAATTTTATTTGATTAAATTAGGATTAAATTGGAGTATTAAAAGCATACTTTATTCTATTTTATTTTTATTTTGGAATTGTTGGATTTTAGTTATATATATATAGGTTTATATATTTAGAAATCATTGTTATGCTTGATCTGTGACCCAAGATAATTAATTAGGGTTTATGCAATTTCTGGTACTTTTCTGGAATTTTTATATATATTTTTGGAATTTTTTGGAATTAATTAGGTTGATATTCGTATTAATTGTTTGAACATATATATATATATATATATATATATATATATATATATATATAATATACGGCTTATATATATATATATACACACGCTGGGTCTGGAATCGGCCCCTCCTAAGGGGTGCGTTACAGTGCGGCGCGGCACATGCTATTACGGTGTGCCACGGTTTTGAGCCTTAGATGTAGTTAGATAGAAAGAGAGATTGATATGGTGTGACGCGGGTGCATGGAGGTGCGGTGAAGTGATCTGGTGTGACGCACGCACAGTGACGGGTTACATCCAGCGAATAATAGAGCGCCACGTCAGCCAAAAGCAATTAGGCGCGTGGGCAGCGCGTAAGCGTGCGTGACGTCAGCTGCCAGTGCTAGGTGGCGCGTTCAGAGGCTTTAGGTGAGTGTGGTGGTGCGTGGAGGAGCGTGAGGCACTGTTTAGGGTCCCGTTAAGGTCCTGTGGGGTCCTGTGAATTTTAAGAAGTGGTTTTAAGCCTGTAAGGGTTGGAAACAACCGCTTAAGGAGTGCTCCTGGTGTCCTGAGAGCCATGGAGTGTTACCACGAGGATGAGTAGTATTTATTTGTGTAAATATAATAAATAAATGTTTTATTACGAGAGGGGAGTATATATATATATATATTATGGAATGTATTATACACATATATATTATGTAATATATGTGTCAATGTTTATATTATTTAAGATAATTAATATTAGTTATTCTTATTTAATCGGTATATTTGGATATGTTGGTTTTTAAATTAATATTATGCATATAATATGCATGAGAAGGCTATGTATGATTTAGCGTATTGTTAAGTTTAAAGTTGATTCATGGTTAAAGTGTAGGCATGGATGAATTGCCAAGGATTAAATATACAACCTAAATATTTGTATGTATCGAATACATACATGGAAAGCATGGATGAGTTGCTAATTAAATATATGAATAAATATACTTACGGAGGCCTGGTTGAATTGCCAAAGAATAAATAAATATACTTAAGGAGGCATGGCTGAATTGCCAATATATAAATAAATATACTTATAATGGCATGGTCGATTTGTCAAAGTGTAATTATATTGCTATGTATTAGATGATTAAAATATATCATCTATGATTATTGTATGTATAAGTTGGAATAGGATTGTATATTGTTCAATTAGAATAGTCTAGTACTGACTGGTTAGAATATATTTTTATATATATTAATAAAATAATACTGATGGTGACATGGATGATTTGTCAAATCCTAGATAGTGGCTGTGTGATTTAAAAACTTAAAAATTAGTATTGGTTTTGGAATTTACTATAATATTTTTTTAATTATATTTTATTGTTTAAATTATTAAATTGTTGTCTATGATGGAATTAAGGTTAGAGGAGTTCCTTTAAAAAGAAATTGTGAATTGGGCTTGTGAATTGGGCTAGGTATGATTATTATTTAAATCATTCATAATGGTTTTGGAATTAATGTGCCTAGTTATAGATGTTGTTGATATATTGTATATAATCAAATATATATATGTATATCATTGTATATTAAAGATAAAAAACTTTGTTAAGTTTGGTTTTGATCAGAGATGATTTACTTATTGGTTTTCAAAGGTCTGGTAGAGAGAACTTGCTCGTAGGGTTTAACCCACGCTTTATATTTCAGGTTATTAGAAATTCAAATCTCAAGGTTGAGGATCCGCAGCTGGAGGACTTATCCATTCATTCATCTTATTTCAATGTAGGATATTTTCTTATTGTTAGATAATGGATATTATTTAAAGACCATTGGATTATTGGATTATGTTATCAGAGATCCTTGATTTACAAGATTTTCGAATTGTAACTTTTGGGAGAATTATTAATGAAATTTTTATTTAATAGATTTTCATTCAGCAAATTATTTATTCTTTTTATTTCTTTTTGTACTCGGTGCTTATTTAAATACTTTATTTGTTTTGATATCCCTTAATTTTGTGTGCGAATCAACCCGTGTTCCGAAATTAGGGAGTATCACATTGCGTTTTAGGAGGAGAAAATATATTCACACGTCTTGTTTGTGCATTTCAAAGGGAAGCATCAGGTTAAGGTTCAAATCCTTTTGAGTGCAAATAATTCCTTGAGGGGTTATGATTAAGGGTGGAAATTTGTATTCGTGTGTCATAATCTTGTCGTGTCGATGTAAGAGTATTCTTCTAAATAGGTAAAACAAAACCCAACCCATTTAATAATTGTATCAAGAAACCTCAACACTAATCCGACTTGTTTATTAAACAGGTTAAGTTGGAAACCTGTTTAATGACTTGTTTATCAAAACGAAACATTTAATGTCCAATCAAATAATAAATACTACAAAAAATTTGTCACAATTAACCCAAATATTCAAAATAAGAAGAAAAATCATAAGGCGTAGTCAAGATTTATGTTAAAACAACTTAACTGTCTATAATAATTGGGTTTAAATAGGTAACATATTACATATGTCATATTCATGATTCTGACATGTTGAGTTAAACGGGTATAAATGGGTTATACGTGTTGAACCTCTTTAACCCTAACCCTACACAGTTACACGATTAACCTGTTTATGACCCGAACCTGTTTAAAATTAACTCAAACTCGCTTATCTCGTGTCATGTTCGAATCGTGTTGGCAGGTCGTGTCTTAATTTGCCACCCCTAATTGTGATTATTAATCAGAAAAAGACAAGAAAAAAATATATTTTGACAATGGGCCTCTTTTTTTTTTTTTTTATCCCTGTTTTATTAAAATTTTGTTAAAATTACTTCCAAATTTGGTTAAATCAACTTTCTGGGAGTGTAGTGCGCTAAAAAATAATAATAATAAAATTAAATTAAAAAAAAAAAAAAAAACACATTAGAATCATGGGGCTTGTTTTGTTCAATTTTGTCATGTTCTCTCTTTTCAGACAAATAAAATTAAAAAAAACTGTGCAAAAGAATATTTTCACTTATTTAGGGTCTGCTTAGTTCAGTTTCTAAGAATTGAAAATAATAATAATAAAAAAATGTATAAAAATCACTTAATTGAGAGTTTTGGATAACTGTTTTATTAAGTCTCGATTACAAAAATAAATAAATAAACCTATTTTTAAATACTGAAACAAGCTTTCTGCTTTCTGAGTCGGTTTTCAGAAAACAAAAAACAGGCCCAAGACATTTGTTGGCAACCGCACCACCCCTTTCCCTATCATTCTCATTGTTTTTTAAGACCAACAAAGGAGCAGCTAGGGAAAAAGAAAAAAAAAAAAAAAAAAATCAAAGACCAACAAAGAGCAACAGTCTCGGCTCCAAAATTTTGAAACCATGTTGTATCAGGGCAAAAGGAAATTTTAGTTAAGACTGGAAATCGAATACGATCACATACCATCAATCCATTTCTCGCAATCAATCCATTTCTCGCAACATGAAAACCCAAGCACATAAAATACCATTTAAACACCAACCCACCACTACAGAACCATTACTCACTCTGGCACCTTCCATTTCTTCAGTTTCCAACGTTATCAACAATCTATGCCTTGGCAAAAAGTGACACCAATATAGTTAAATACATCAACCATTGCATTCAAACTCCAAACCATAAAGTTCCCCTGTGCAGATTCAAACAGAAAAACTCCTGTGTGCAGTCTCATGTAGCTTTAAACATAGCAAAGAAAATTTTAAATCAAACGAACCAGCAGGAAGGAATGTGATTCATTCCATAATGAAGTGAGAAATCATTTCAATGAAAAACGAACACCCCCTCAGAGAGGCACTTTAGCTGTTATTCTATTCTCTCCATAAACAGAAAATTAGCATACTAATTAATGAGAGTAAGAGAGTCCAACACCAAGCATTCTTGTCCAGGACAAAGGATCAAGCATTTGAATAAGCACATTCAATCTGATGTTCTGTTGCCAATAAGATTATAAGCCAACATAATCCTATACATATAGCCAATATACAAAAGAGGGAGTCTCAATTACAAGTATTCTAGGTCTCCTAACTACCCTTCTCATTTCATTATAACTCCTGTCCTCCTCAGCAGTAACATTCTGGTATGGGGCTGGAGGGGCTGGATGTGCTGGAACTCTTAATTATCTGGGACAAATATAACAAATATCACAGAAATTAATATGTCAATTAAAAATCGTCATATACAACATACAAGTGGTCCATATATACTGTGTGAGTGTGCGATCATACATAGTAATTGTTGCCCGATACCCCATTCACAAAATAGAAACCCATAACGGCCTTCAATGAGAAATATGATCACTAAAATGAATACAACCTAGAAATGTAAAATAGTGAACCGAAAAACAGTAAGACTAACCTGAAATGTAAAATAGTGAACCGAAAACAGTAAGACTAACCATGTCAGAAACTAGACCAAACATTTAGAACAAAATATTTTGTTACCATTATGTAACTTTGTTACTGCCATTTACACTCATGCTGAGGCTACCAAGGTTTCGTTGGCAGGCCAGAGAAGGTGGGGTGAAGCAAATTCAACAATGGTTCCATTGTTTTTTAGGGTGGGGTGAGCTGGTATTTTGAAAACAAGAGAAAGAAAGTGATCACTTATGATCTTCCCTTGCTACTGCAGAATTCATTGTCGTTCAGAGCCACTGGAGATGCTAGTGGAGGCTTCAAGTGAAGCTAATATCCAAGAAGAGGATGCAGAGAATAAGAGATTGATGGTTAGAGATAAGTTTATAGCTTATATCTAGTCTAGCTTATGGATAGGATGCAGGGTAGGCAGGAGAGTTAGATCAGCTTGGCAGGCAGACACATTTTGCCAACAGTGCAGTAATCACGGAGAGAAATAGGAGGTCGCTTGAGGGATGGAGGCCCGATTTGAGCAGTCAATCATCATATGTTGATTTCCCTCCATTTTTTAATTATTATCATCATCATCATTATTTTTATTTATTTTTATTTTTTTGGGAATCATAGGGACTGCAATTATTGATTTTTTTTTTTTGGGTAAGAATTGGTATGGGAATTTCTTATGCACAGATTTTGTATACATTCTCGGTACATGGCTGTACCTCCTTGTTTTGGTGCTAGATAAATCCTATATTCAGGATAATGCAATTCTTTCCCTTTAAAATTTCTAAAACCGTAATAAACCAACTAAAATGCTTCTCCAGTTTATCAATATTACCAGAAGAAAATGCATTTAATCATTAATAAATAGGCCCACATTCAGCTAACTATTGGGTCAACTTTTGTGTCCAACCTACCTAAGAATAGGTTCCCAGTCTTAGAATTATTAACTAAACCGAGTGAAAATGACCAATTTCAGACCAATAATACATTCATTCTAACATGTTTCTAGCCAAACGTGAGGAAAAGCAAAGGTCCGCCATAAAAATGACAAGCAGAAGTACATCAAGCAAAATGTTCAGGATACAAAGGAGGATACAGATGTGGATAAACTGCTGAAGCATGAACGACTTCCTACAGCAAAATTTTGCAAAAAAAAGTAAACAAAACTTTAATCAGAAGTTATTATTTTCTAAACAAAAAATTATATAAACTGCTATAGACAAATGACTAAGTTCACTTACCCCGTATGATGAAAGAAACATTTAGAATTTCTGTACAGCAGAAGCCACCATGCTATCAATGGAATAACTGACATCACTTTTGACTGTATATCTGTCACTAATCTGGTCTGACATATTTGCTGCCAGAGGAGACATCATCCTTATAACTATCACGAGATTCAGAAGGATCGTATCGGTCCTCAAACTCATGGCGGATAACGTAGTCTGATTTGTGATCCCTATACTTGTTCCTTTGGCGTCTATCCTTCGCTTCTAAATTATGATCAATTTGCTCCCTTCGAAGACTAGTCCGCTCATGTGACCGGCTGTGACTTCTATCTGTGCTTCGTGGAAAATACTTCCTGGATACTTCCACATCATTTCGCTGACCTCGATTATTAATATAATCATCTGATCTGCCATTACTTCTGTATCCGTCTGGGCTTCTGGTATACTCTCTATCACGCCTGTCCCTGCTGACACTTCTTTGATATTCTAGATGCTTATTGTGTTGATGAGAATCTCGTCTATAACGCTTGTGATCGTCAGGAGACTCATCATATGATCTTGTAAATCTGACATTATCTTGATTATGTGACTGTTCCCTGTAACCATGCAGCTGTTCTCCGCTTACTTCATTTGTGTTGGACATAGTTTTCTTTTGCTCACCATGTGACTGTTCCCTGTAACCATGCGGCTGTTCTCTGCTTACTTCATTCGAGTTGGACATAGTTTTCTTTTGCTCACCATCTGTAGAAACGTCAAGAGCAGAAAAAGGCTTAGATGTTCCTGCATCTTCAGTTCCCTTTACCAAGCAACCAATCCCTCCCGCTTGCTTGATTACCTCCGTGTAATCCTCTATTATATCTCTTAACTTCTGTTGTGGCAAAAAGTAAAAACAGAAACAAGAATAATTAGAAGTAAATGAACAAAAAGAAACAAGGTGTGACTAACAAGATTAACAATGCGTCAAAATAAAATAACAAAAAATGAAAAGAAAATCCATTGTAAAGACAGAAGGAAAGTTGTGACCCAAAACTATAAAGAACGCAAAAGTTAACATGGGTAAAGAAAAGTACAATAGCATGTGGTCTAACTGATGTAATGACCTTAAAGTGGATTCACATAGTTGGGACAAGGCTTTGCAGAGTTGGATTGAGTTGAGTTGAAACAAGCAAAAAACTAGAGAAACCCAAGGTCGTATTTGTGCAGTTCATGGTTGGAATTGCAGCCTGTCTCTTGTCGCCATCTCAATTAAGTTACAATTTTTCTGCTTTCTTGTATTTAATTATAATATATATTTTTAAAGTTATACAGTAAAAAAGAGGTCAATACCCATTGTTGGCCCCAATAATCAATGGTGCAGGAAGGGACAGACCAGGTAAAAACCAACCTTTAACATTATTTGCACACATAACAAGGAAACACAAACAAACAATAATCTTCCCAGAATACAACCTGAATGATAAAAGGAGAAGGGAATCTAGCCAGTGGCTTAGCGGTATCAGACCCCTACTTCTCAAAGGGAGGTCAAGGGTTCAAGTCTCAGTGGAGGCATGCATATGTGAGTACCAACTAAGAAGGAAAAAAAAAAAAAAATTCTAGCATTTTGACTGAAATATTTGTTCCTCCAAGAAAAGAGGGGTGAGACAAGTATATAAGTGTCCAATCAAGTTGAGCTAAACATATTCCATTACAAACGACATGCTTTGCCTGCTCCCTCCCAGTGTCCACTACCACTCCTGCCCAGAGGGAAGAGAAGGCGAAAAAGCACACCAAAGTAGCACAACAAGCTTCTATTGCTTTGTAACAGTAGAGCAGGATAGCATTTTACGCCAACATGTTCGATTTTGAGAGTAGAGAGCTCGCTTGTTATACAAACGTCCAACCAAGTCCAGCAAAACATACCAGTGAAAGTGAAAACTAGGTCACATGGTATGGATAAAGCAATTATACTGGAAGTCAAAGTAAAAAATTCAACGTCAAATTATATTGTTTTCATTAGGTGGTAGGAATTGTTATATCTAGTTGGAGTTAAGTGGAAATATCAACTTCCAACTATATTGTTTTCATTAGGTGGTAGAAATACATGGGAGACAATTTATCTTAACTGAAATCTTGCTAAATTAAAGATTTCAATTTATCGGTTTTACCTGAACTACATGAATAAATAACAAGAAATAACAGACTCATTTAATTTATTTATTCGGAGTATTTCCTTTCATTTCGTTTCTACCATTCAAGAAGAATTTTCAAGTCACATCACTAATCATGCACTAAATGGGTGCATCAATGGTGAACAAGAACCTAAACAGAAAAACAGCACCAAGAGGGAAATATGATCTTATTCACATTAACTATCTGCCACGTCAGAAAAACTCGTACTCACTAAAACCAAAATATTATCCAGTTTGGAAAAACCTCTGCAAGTTATATCAGCAAACCATCTCAAGTAGGTTTTGTGTTTTTTATCGAACATAGAGCACCAATATTTGTGAAGATTGATCAGATCTCTGAAAATCTCAAAGCGGATTATGTTTTTCCATTTTGATGAACTGGAAGTGTGTAGAATATAAACAATCTGCCTTCTCTATTCCTAAGAGATGTGTAAAGTTAGCGAATCCTGAAAAAAAAAATTTCAATACTTGCTATTTTTTTCTTCTTCTCACTTCTCCAAGTCATGGAAAATACTGTTCAACCCCGAATATCCAAAAGCTATTGAAATGCTAGCTTGAGTTTCACTCTTCAAGTCCGCTATTATAATACCTAGTATAGAAAGGTGAACTTTTGAGCCACCTTTCTATTCTCGGCATTACCACGTGTTATTTCTCAAGACAAATAATAAAGCACCACAATTTGCATGGGTTAAATAGTGTAATAAAAAATAAACAAAATGGTACCATATGTCCCTGGAAAGCTCTAAGGTCAACCAATGTGGTGTCAGACTTGTCATATGCAATCCACAAGTATTCTCTCCAAACACAAATGATTGTAATTCTTGTAATTACACTTTATGTTTATTTCTCCACGAAAAAGACAATTATCAAGGAATGTGGTTCTCATCATAATTCTCTCCAAATCACAAGATGGGACATGGTTGGTACTTTATTCACATAAATATGAATACACAATATAGATTGGTAAATTCTCGACACATGCAAAAGTTGATGTATAGCATCAAATTGGCCAGAAATTCAAAAGACGCCAGGAAATGCCATGTCGCTTTTCCAGTATTGCCAAGTCATTCTTGGCAGCATGTTGCATGGACCAGTCTTGAAAAACCGAGTGTTAATGCTTGTCACAATTGATCAACGTGAAAGGAGGCATAAAAACCTTCCACTCATAAATAACCATCGCCTTCTAATCAAATCTTGACAATTGTCTCTCCAAAATAAATAGACAAATATATACTATAAAGGAATTCAACACTTATCATATATCTCTCTAGAAGTCAATGCAACATCGTAACAACAAACAAACACAATTCTGTGGAGCAATACGAGATTTTTATTAAATTGAAGTTCTGAAGCCCCCAGGACCTTTCTCAATCAAGTTTATGCTCAAAGGCCTACAGGCTCTAATCGAAGGATTCATGAAAAGCCATTCATACCCACCATCTTTTCCAAGCAAGTTTGGGAAGATTCCAATAATATATTCATTATTAATTTATTATTGAACCTCTGGCATATAATCAAGAGTTTCCATCAGTTTCCCCGACGAACTTCTCACAATTCGCATGCATCTCAAAAAAAATTATATATATGTATATATATTTGACCATTTATTTTTAGAGAAGCTTACCACCAAAATAAAATTTTAGACCATTATTTAGTTATCTAAAAATAAAATTAATAAGAAAATGTTATAACCAAGAAAAGTAAGGACAAAAAGAAAACTCTTACCTGCGTTATTGTTCGCTTTAACTTCTTACCACGATACGACATTCTTCGACGTTTGTAATCCCTATCTTCAGCCAATAACTCCTCTTTCGTTTTCGTTCTATCTGTATCCTAACGAAAGGACAAAATGGTTTGACAGGAGATTAGGAGTTAATTAGAACAATTTCTACTGCGATAAAGAGCTGTTAAGAAATAAGATAGAAAGTACTAAAATATCTGTTAACGATACATGATAATAATGTCATTTCCAAAAGGCCATGGTATATAATGAAACAATCTTCTTGTACAGTTGCTTACGATGGTATGCGCTTACTCCTACAACAATGAATATTGACTCCTTCAATGTCATGCAAGATCATAAAATTTGACAGAATTTTTAGGGCAATTAATTGGAGGATTTCAGGCATTCCCAAAGCCAAAAATCAGACTGCCATGCTTCCAATAATAATCACTGGAATTTTTTTTTCTTCAATTCCATTTAGCTAGAATATTCTCACGGACAAGGATCAACCTAAGACTCCTTTCCACCAATTATAAACTATCAGCTCAAGCACAGAAAGGAATTCCTTTTGTACAAATGGACGAGTTTCATAAAGCTCATCATACCCTGTCACTTTGTAAGCATCCACAAGAACATACCTGGTTACGGGAATGCTGCCAAAAAAGCCCATCGTGTTCAATTACAGGTTTATAGTTGGAACGTTTTTGCCGCTCCTCATCAGCTCTTCTTGAGACACATGCGTGATCAGCAACTCTACATGAAAAAAATTAACTTCGAGAAATAAGATGCTGCTGCTTCCTTTTTCTTTTTCTTGTTTGGGATTGGGGGTTGAGAATTAATTGAGAAGACACTCCAGACTATGAAATGAATTAATAATTTATTGCAAAAGTAAGAAACTAAACACGTCTAAAACAACTGTGAAAAATAAATTCAATGGAGTCTTGAAAATGTATCTCAAGCAAATCAGAGATCTTGAATGGTATAAACGCAATTAAAAAACTAAACAGCATAGGCTAGACCAGTAAAAGAAGAGAATCTTATAATCAGAATTAAGGATATTTTGGACTTAATTGCAGAAATAATTGAAGAAGAAAGACACATAAACTAGCACTTGCACCATAGACATAGAATACTTTCAAAGTGATGGTCATCTTGTCATGGAACCATAACATTCACGATAAACTCCCAAACTACCTTTAGGAAAAACCCAGCCCTTGAGAAATTAAATTCTTTTATCTAAATAATATTGTATTGAGGAAAGGAAAAAATAAAAATAAAAATCATTGTTAAAAAGTAAAAAAGTTATACTTCTTCCTTGTCCATATAATTATCTTCCGGAATGCAATGACTCAACACCATGATGTTCTTCATATGAAAATTAATAATTATACACACACATTTAGATGTCATATTACTCAACTCAACTCAATAAAGCTTCGTCCCACTATTAGGAGTTGGCTACAAGACGCGTGTTTAGCCATTCCATTCAGACATGTTTAGATGCCTCATGGAGGTCCTAAATTTTTAACCTCCAAAGCACACACACTTCCCCGCACCATGTAAAATTTAGCACTTAATAAAACATCAAAAAAGGATATTTGCATTACTTACCAATAACCACCAACCAAATATAAATATGACCTCAGTTGCGAGGCTAACAGCCCTATATATGTGTCACCAAGGGCTATCTGAAAAATTATACTAGCAACCTAGAATCCTATTCACAATATAGATTGCATGATAAAGTTTTTGATAAGTCCCATTCCTAAAAACAATTTATTGATTAAAATAGTATCCAACTTAGTGCCTTATTATTTTTCTTTGTCTTAGGCAAAACATAAAAAGAGATGAATTTATAACAAAAGAATATATACAGATATTGGAGAAGGTCAAAAGGGAAAATAAAAAGATAAGGATTATATCACACATACAGAGCCCAATATCGTTAACACAGAAATATTCAAAGGTTATGCAAGGCCTTTCATGTCTAATAAGTTTTTGAGAGCAAAAATTGAACAAATTTACAGAAGGAGATCAGCCTTGATTTTTTATTTTTTATTTTTATATTATTTGATAAGTGAGATCAGCCTTGAATTTAAAACCACCTATCACATTCAAATGGATTAATCTACAAAATCTTACCCCATCATGGACTAAGCGATGTACTACAAACTTAGTACCATTGTGTGCAACACAACAATCAATGGTCTTGGTAAAGTTGGCATCACCTCAGTCTCCAAGAAGGTAGAATAGAAATTAAGACGATAAAGTAGATTTATTTTTATTTACGTATATGATATAGTCAAAGTGAATGAGCACATCCAATACAAAATAGATAAATTCTTCATGGTTTCTCTTGGCTATATGATTCATCCTATTTCATCCATGGGAGAAATCAAGCTTCGAGATATAGTCTTATCAATATACAAATATATAACTCCCAAGGAATTTTAATTTCAATTGTGCTCATATTCATCACTGCAGGAATTGAGCTCAAGCTTTCCTAGACCCTTCTCATGGAATCCTGATGTATATGGTCAATAATGCTTCTCTACAATATTCACTGTTCCTCTCCATCCAAATTTTAAAAAGTAAAGCAAGAAATATTTATATATATAGAGAGAGAGAGAGGAGAAATCAAAATTCCCTTACCCTCTCATAATTTCAAGGCCACATAACCAGGACTTCCTTGTTCTTGAAAAACAAACGAGGAAGTTTTCTTTAAAGATGCTTGACAATAGCAACTAATAATTTGGTTTTGTCAAATAATAAGTTATGTCAGATAAAATCTCATAAATTGGTATTTCTACAGCTAAAGGCATTTTATCTTATGCTACAAAACATTGAAAAGTGGTATCATGATTATCATCAGTTGCACAAAAGAAAACAGAATAATATAATAAGAGAGAAGAACAATAGTGAGAGCATACCGCTGGAATTTATGAACTGATTGAGCAACCCGGAATGCCTTAATTTTTCCTTCAAACAAGGACCTTTCGTGCAGCGCAGCAACTGCAGCTGCTACTTGGGAAACAAAAATCACCATGCTATTAATCTTTTCACCGTCCATACCATTTCTTTCATTCTCGATACTTCTTTCAAGTGGCTCCTCAATATTACCATCTGCCCCTTTGGAAGCAGGTGATTCAGTGGCCTTTTGCGAAATGGGAAACAATAAAGAATTCATCGAAGCATTTAGAATGCACTGCTTAAGCATGTTAATTGCAAAGAACTTCCCATTTACTCCACCATACAGTACAGAAAGCTGAAATGAAAACCACTTCAATACGTCAACCAACTTGGAACACTCAAACCACATTGTGGCCAAATTCAACCCAGTCTCTCTGTTAAATACCAAATCCACAGAACCAACAGCTTCCCTCAGAATTGCTTTCAAACAGAGCCTGAAAAGCAAAACTATGTGATCCCTCATCGGTGCATCAATCACAATACCATAATTAGACGAATTCACAATAACCCATCTCAAAATATCACTCTCTTTCATTGTACACAAGCACAAAATGGCTCGAAGAACACTGTACGAATAAGATACAGGATAATCATTCCATGCCTCAATTTCATACCTAACCAACCATAACTCCGATGGAAGAAGCTTTACACACTCTCTAGAAAAACCCTTAATTTCAACATCACCACCGCCTACAAAATTTGCACACTCAGCTGATAGAGTACCTGGCAACGTAAATGTTGGCTTTGTACCATCATGATCAGTTACAGTAACAACACCTGGGCAATCCTGGTAGAAGAAATTCGAGCCAAAATCACAGTAATCATCGATAGAAAAGCAGAGTTCGGCATCGGAATCGTGAAGAGTTCGTACAAAACGATTCTGGCTGACCAATTCTTGGGAGGATTGGAGAGTATTGGGGTAGTTCAGTGAATCGAGGAGTGAGAGGTCAAGAGCGGCTGATGAAGAAGGGCATTTGAGGGAGTGGCGGAAGAGGGACTCTGGCGGCACGCGGTGGTGGGGATTGAAAGGGCAGGGAGAGAGGGCGGAGGAGGAAGTGGCGGAGGGTGTGTGGAGGAGAGTGGAGATGGATGTGATGGTGGTTTCGGAGAGTTGGATGAGGTTTTTGAGGGTGGAGAGAGTGGACGGGAGATCAGGTGGAGGTGGAGGTGGTGGTGGTGGGGTTTGGTGGTGAGGATGGAACAAATTAGGGTTAGGATTGGGGTAAGGGTTAGGATTGGGGTTAGGGTTAGGATTGGGGTTAGGGTTAGGGTTAGGGTTCGGAGGGAGGAAGGTGAAGTGTGATGGATGGGGAAATGGAGTAGGGTGAGGAGGAGGATTCATGGGAACTTCTAAGTTTGGGAGTGCTGTGAACTGTGAAGCTGACTTTCAGTAGCGACAGGGAGGGTTTTAGAGGGTAGGGATGGAAAAAAGGTTTCCCGGAAAGGAAAAGGAAAACTTGGAAGGAGGGAAAATCCTTGCAGCTTTTCTCCTCCTCCTTTCTTTTTCTTTTTTTTGTTATACATTTTTATTTATTTATTTATTTTTATTATTATTATTTTTTTTTTAGAGGAGTGAGAATTTTGAAAAAGAAAAGAAATAATGAGATAATAGTATTAACAACTTGTTGTGGTGTTTGGTTGATTAATAAAGAAAAAAAAAATGATGGTAATTATGTTTGGAAAGATAAATGAAAGGAGATTAATGTAATGAATTTACAATCATACCTTCTTCTTTTTTTTTTCTTTTTTTTTAATTTTACCAAACTGACCCTTAGATTGCATTTTAAGGTATTCAAAGAATTTTAAAGTAAGGAAATTTTGAGTTAAATGCTTCAATCCATGTAAAAACAGATTTAAATATTGGAGTTCCCATAAAAAGGGAATATTGGGAATCTTAAATAAGTATAACTCTAAAATTAAAGAAAGAAAAAATATAAAGGAAAGTAATTTGTTTTACTGTCAATTTCTGATTGTTCATGCAAAAAATTTTTTTTAAAAAAAAGAGTAAAATCCCTAATTTTCTTTTATTTGATAAAAAAAAAAAAAAAAAAATTAATCAAAATTGTAAGGAGAACAATTTAGTATTTGGTACGAGTACCTCCTAAGGAATGAAAACTACTGCTATTCTAACTTTTATTAGGAGATTCAAACCACAAAACACAAGTTTATGAGTTGATAGATTAAATGAGAATGATGACCATCTGTCTTTTTAGTTTCCATTCCATGAATAACTGTCCTCTATGAGAATCAAACTTCTCACTTTTTCTTTGAAAAATGAGAGATTATAATAATACCATAAAAATAAATAAATAAATAAAATACAATAAGCAACAAATATTTTATCCAATTTAACAAAAATACAGCCACTTAAAATTTTATAGGGATAATTTCACTTACCTCCCCTGAGATTAGACGTAATTACAGGCAGTACCCCTTACGTTTCAAATATTACACCGTCCTCCCTCAAGGTTTGCTCTGTCGTAACACTTAGCCCCCTCCGTTGAGAGTCAACGCTGGTCAATGATGATTTTCGATGACATCAGCTATTTTTAACCTTATAATACCACATTTGCCCTTACTTTTGTATTAAAATAACCTATATATCCAACAAAACAAAAAATAAAAAATAAATAAAAAAACAAACAAACAAATACTTCTAAAACCCCAATTTCTCATATTTTGACTGGTATCTGAATCAAGGGATGGACGGAGCAGGACATCAAAGAGGTCTTTAGGATATGTGTGTGTGTGTGTGTGTTATGATGTCCCAACCAGAGGTGCACGAGGGACTGGTCGGGACGGCGAGCAAGGACAAACGGAACGTCAGGCGGCAGCAAGCTATGAATAACCCACTGGGGACAAGCAAGGATGTGCTTAATCGACAGCGAGCAAGAAGAACGGCGGTGACGCGGTGGCGGCAGTGTGGCGACGAACAATAAGAGTCGTTATTCCGGTGACGGTAAACGAGCAAGGATATGCTTAGTCGACGGCGAGAAAGAACGGTAGTGCCGCGGTGGTGGTAGAGTGTGGCGATGAACAACTACTGGAAGAGTCGCGATTCCGGCTGCGATAAGCACAGTAGTTATTCCGATGACGGTGACAGTAAGGACTGGGTCTGAATTGAACGGTGGTGATGCTCTTATCGGTGCTTATCGGCTTGAGGTCTGAATGGTGTGCAAGCAGCTCGGAACGGTGGTGAAGGACAGCGAGCTCAGAACGGCGTGCACAGGCTCTTGTAGATGACGATGGATGACGGATCTGCTGTCGATGATCACAGGGGCTGTAGAAAGAGAAAGCGAGCCTAGCGACGCAAGATACCGATGGTGAACTAGTGAGCTAGGCGGTGAAGCGGCGCTCTGATCCGGTAACGAAGTGAACTGAAATGGCGGTGGCGATGCACAATCTCAACAGCGAGGCTGACCGGCGGTGAGCAAGGATGCCGATGCTGAAGTTTGGTTGTTCAGTTTGGTTGTTCAATTCTATAATTGGGGGTAGCTTTTATCATTTTGGATTTTGATAATTTTTTATTTTATATAATAAGGGTATCTTAGTCATTTGACAAGAATGTCACTGGAATTTAACTCCGGTCACATTGAGGGGAGGTTTCTGTAATTTTTGAAACGTAAGGGGTACCATCTGTAATTACACCTAACCTCAGGGGAGGTAAGTGAAATTATCCTAAATTTTATATTCAAACTTATTGAAAGCAGCCAAGGTGTGAGGTATCAAAAGAACTGTAACAACAACACTTCTGCTTATATAAGGTATGTTAGGCATGTGTTTTGTTCTTAGTGTTTATGTTTTTGTCGGGTATTGTAGCAGTGAACAGTGAAAAAAACAGGTTTGGTAAAAACTATTTTGTTTTGCACAGCACCAAAACGTTTCGTTAATAGTGGCTAAAAATCAAAACACCTTGGTGTTTCTATAAGGCCCTGTTTGGTATCTGTTTTACTTCATGTATTTTTGTTGCAGGTCCGCTACAGTGGCCTAAAGCATGTTTGGTTCGTTATGTTTTGTTTGGACAATTGTAAAACATTTTAATAAAAAGGCCCAAAACTTGAAACACCAAAATGGTGTTTTAAGTTGTTTCAGCACTGTTTAGCCCACTTCATGCACTGTAGCGGAGGAAAAAATTCGGCCAAACTTATAACACTCTACAACAAGTATAAAGGCAACGCTTAAATATTTTAGGTCATTTTGCACCCCAACTTTCTTTCTCCTCCATCGATGTTCTCTGTGGTGATTTAGGGCGATTCGACTATACAGTGCTTGGGTCCTGAAAACTTCGATCAAGTCAAGCTTTTTTGCTTAAAACCACTACAGATTTAAAGCTCTTTACACTTTTCGTCGAAGAAGAAGCCAGGTTTGACCCATTTGGTTTAACTTTGTTCAATTAAGTTCAACATATTGACTGTTTTTCTGTATTTTTTTTTAGTTTTTTTTGTAGGAAATCCATAAATGGTGTGTAATATTCTTTGATTTTGGAGGTTTTTTTTAAAAAAAAAATTGATTTTTCCCGAAAACCGTAGTTTTTCTTTCAGTTTTACAAACATAAAACTCTTCTATATTGTTAGATTTGAGCTTATATTTGAAGGGAAACCAATATTTGTGGAAACCCTAAATTTTTCTTTCGGTTTTTGGATTAATTACCACAACAGTGTTGTATTGGAGCCTAATAATCTTATATTTGTAGAAATCCTAAATTTTTATTTCGGTTTTTAGATTAATTACCACAATAGTGTTGTGTTGGAGTCTATTGTTCAATTTGATTTGAAGATTTGAGATACAACTTTCTATTTTAAAGTAACTGTACATTATTAGATTGTTAATAATGAATCTTGATTTACTGTCACCTGAATTCACTTTTTCAGAATGTCTTATTAAGTTGTATGTAATCTTCTACAATATATCTGTATTCCTATATGCAGTATGGATGTATGATTGAGGTTAAATTTTCTCAATTACTGAATTGGAACTTGACATATAAAGAACAATGGAGACCTTTTGTCATTTTGCAAAATTCTTGATTTCTCTTTTGCTTGTTAAAAGTGGGAACCAGGAAAGGCACATAGGAATATAACATGTAACAATTTGATTTTTTGATATTGCATACGATTGGTGTACAATATGATTTGTCGATATTGATAACAGTGTAGTATAACATGTTGAGTCTCTCTGTACAATGTTTTTATCATGGTTGGTATTATGGAACTATGTGATTGCAAATTGTCATAGTAAGTTTGTAGCAATTTAATAGTCTTTTCCTTGGGCAAAATAAAGTTGAATATAGTTAGAACTTGGAAGGAGCTCTTCCTTGTCATCCTTGTAGCCCTTTAATAAGGTTCTAGAGGTTTAGCTTTGATCCTTTGCAACCACTTCCCCTGGGGCTCCCATGCTTGATAAATAGTTCAAGGATGTACCTGGGTTCTAGTCTCCACAATTGAGTAGAATAGTGGGCTAGAATATTTACTAGCAGTTTCCCCTAAATTACCTCTGACATGGCTACTGATATCATAAACATAAAATATGTTTTCTGTATACTTTTGAGGTCTAATGTAATTTGAACTCTCTTTCAAGTGTTACGCGATTCACGAGTGATACAATTTATAGCTAATGTGTTTCCTTTTCTTAATAAATTGTTGCACGTTGCTTCTAAAATGTAATTTTTTTTTTTTGATAAATAAAATTATTATATATCATTATGATTATCTCATAAAGTCAACTATTATTATATTACTTGTGTATAAATATTTGAACCAAATGCAGTCAGTCAGTCATATATTCCACTTACTAGGTTGTAGAGCATGAGAAACATGCAAGAGGTGTGGGCCTTAGCTAGATTACTTGTGATACTCAGATAAGATCTTTCGTGGTGATATTAGAATAGACACTCAAGGGTGAATGCTTATTGTATGAAGGCTGAACCTGACTCCATTCTATGGGGGATGTCAAACTCACCAGTGATGCCAATAAAAATGGGTTTATATGTTTACAGAAAAGAAGAAAAGGAAAACATGCTTACCTGTTTGCTAAGTTTATTTCTCTTGATTCAAATTAGAACTGTTTATTTTAATCGGAGGTGCATGACTGCAATTTTCTATCTTCACCTTGCAAGTTGCCCTATTTTATATCTAATTTTGTGCCCACAATTTTTTTTTTTTTTTTTGTCTTGGCCTTTGCATCAATGGCTTGAAAGGAAGCTTAAAGTTTAAAGTTTGTTTTGTCTTGGTCTTTGCATTAATGTTTTACATCTCTTATTCCCAGCCTCAATAATAAGTTTGGAAAGTGGAGACTGCGAGTAAATTTTTGGGAAAAAAGAACAAATATTAAAGTCTTATGCAACATAATTTTCATAAATATTCAAACCTTCAGATTCAACAATTGATTTGATATGTCAATGGCTGAAACACCAATGTTATTTGCCATAGTGGGTATGTCAAAAACTTGTTACCCATTCTTTATCTCAGACCAGCAAATTTCATGCACAACCTGTACATTATGAGTTTTACAAACTAAAAAGCATTTAACAAGTATTGATCTTCCTGAAATTGATGGTATATTTTTTCTTTTATATGTAATATATTTGTTGCTATTGTGGGCTTGTAATATATATATGTAATATATATCATTTTTGCTGTTA